GCGGTCGACGTCAAAGTCATTTGTCGACCTCCCAGGTAAACCTCATCCCAGGAGGCATACCTGGGAGGTCGACAAATGCCTTTGATGTCAACCGCAGAGCGTCCAGACTACCGCACTGAGCCGACAAACAGCTGACCGGCTCAGCGCAGCAGCCATTTAAATTTAAATGAAGCAGCGATTATTTAAATCGCCGCTTCATTTTCCTATGCCGGGTAGCCTAATCTACATGCCTCTGTTGCCAGAGGGATGTAGTCTAGACATATCCTTGATGAAGAATACTATTCCCCAGAGAACAGTACTGAAACTGAATGAGGTTTGTCTTCACTACACCATGGATTGACAATGCAGTGATCGATCCATTGGCAGTTGATTTATCACGTCTGTTTAATGTTCATTTTCAACCATGTCCCCATTCCTTATTAATTCAGCCACACTGCCTTGCACCCCATCTTCAGACAGATTATGTTGGCAGCTGCCTCTACAGTGGATATCAAAGAGCTATTCCTTGGATGGATGGCTACTGCAGGTTCACTTGCTGTGTGTGGGGAGGGGGGGGTTGTAAACATGCAACTGCTGAAATTTTTAGCGGTTACATATGGGAGGAGGCAACTCTGAAGGAGCCGTTGTGTGCAGGGAGATGGCCTTCCCCCACCTTCGTGCTGCTGCCTCTGATACATATGGGGGGGGGGGGTAACTCTGAAGGTTAACTGTGTATCCTAACACATCCCTAGCCTGAATGTGTCATTAATTCTGTTCAGACAGCTATGGACCAAAATCCAGGAGTCCCAATCAAGCAATGAAGGTAATAGGAGTTGTGCCAGAGTAAAAATTGCATCAGGACCTTAAGAGGTGTCCATGCTCTATACTGTAGCCTGCTCTTCTTTAAACCATACTTCCCCCACATAACTCTCCTACCAATTTTTCCTCTTTAAGGTTCCATGTCTAAGTGATATATACAAGTTTTCACCTTGTCACTGGCAGCAAGCTAATGTAGATACATTTATGGCATTATATATTAGCTAAAGGAGACTTAGATTCAGAAAACATCAAGGTCAGTTTACTAAGAGCAGCTTCTCTAATCATAATGATAAAACATATCACAGCAAATCTAGATGACAAGATTATTGATATGTCTATGGAAGATTTTCTAAAGAAGGTCTGTTCTGAATTCAGAAACAATTGCAGAGGAGAATTCATAGTATAAATTTCCTTCATGGTGTAGTGCCAGTTCGTATGATGACATTTAATAATGTCACATGCAATGTTCAAGAGTCCCCATTGGAAAAGGAGTGAAAGGAAGAGCATCAGCATGTCCTAGTAAGTGAGACAATTCCTATGCTGGACGTCCTAGATTTCCCATATTCTAATCCCAGCTCTACTACCAGAGCTCATCGCTATGGAGTCATGGAGAATTCCGTTAACTTTTTTTTGCCTCTGTTGCCCCAACTGTAAAATGGCCATAATAATATTTTCCAGCTTCAAAAGTTGTTGTGTTAATGGCTATAAAATGGCATATAAGTGATACTGGCCTAGTCTTTGGGCTAAAAGGTGCCCCACTGAGCCAGCCAGAATTCCTCTTCAGGACTCCCAGGATGCATGCACTGGGACAGTAGCTCCCCTATATTTTCAAACCGTGCAGCCTGCTGCCTGCCAGCCAGCTGTACAGGCCAGTGGAGGGGTGAACCTGCCGTCATACCACCTCTCCCCTAGGGGGCACCATTTGGGAGAAGGAAGGGCGGCAAGAGCCAAGGGATGTTAAATTTAGTTTAATCAACTCATCAATTAGTCAATGGATTTTCCATTGTCTAATTGATTAGTTAATAAGCCAGCGACCCGCAGTGGGGTTAGCTCCTGGCCCAGGAGTTACCCCGCTGTAGCTCTGCCTTTTGAATGTATTAAGAGCCAGTAGGCTCTTAATACATTTAGAAGAGTGAAACGAATCAGCTAGCCCAGCTCGCGCTGGGTCCCCCCCGCTGCGCTCTGATTTTTAAATGTATTAAGAGTCCAGAGGCTCTTAATATATTTAAAAAGCAGAGGCCCAGCATCTTGGACTGGTGCAAGGTGGGAATCAGCTGATTCCTGGTTCGTGCCCAGTCTCCACTGTCCCCCCACCTCCCGCAGAGGCAGTGCTGGGGGAAACCAGCTTTTAAGACAGCTCCCCCCAGGACCAGCTCCTGCTCCCCCCTCTTGCTGCCTCTGATAGAGGCAGCAAGGGTAGGGGAAGCAACTAGTTGAGGGACTAGTCGACTATCCGATAACCTTTTTCTTATCGTATGGTCAACTAGTTGGATAGTCGACTAGTCGCTTACATCCCTACAAGGGCTTGCCCCTCCAAATTTCCATACAGGAGGTATGTGAGTTCCTGGTGAAGCTTGTAACTAGAGCACAGCATTAGTATGAAATCTAAGTTCTGAAGAAGAGATGTGTCCCTGGAGTAGAGAGTCAGTATTTTGT